TGAAATAATGTTATATAGATGTACCCTATTTCAAAAAGCTATTTTGAAATAAGATACTCAATTGATGTAGCTCAATTTGCGTATCTTATTTTGAGTTAAGCCCTGCAGTGTAGACGCACCCTTATTTATCATCTTAAGGGGGGAAAAAACTGTCCTGTGATACAAATAATCTGTCAGTTGTGACGAGACCAAGTCCCAGAACGAATAATGTTATATAGATGTACCCTATTTCAAAAAGCTATTTTGAAATAAGATACTCAATTGATGTAGCTCAATTTGCGTATCTTATTTTGAGTTAAGCCCTGCAGTGTAGACGCACCCTTATTTATCATCTTAAGGGGGGAAAAAACTGTCCTGTGATACAAATAATCTGTCAGTTGTGACGAGACCAAGTCCCAGAACGGTGGAGCTCCATAACTGTCTTTTAGCAAAATGTTATTTTTTACATATGTTTGTTACTAAATTGCTCTTTTTTGTTTTGTTTTTGTTTAAAAGTAATTGTTGTGGTTGCTGGGATAGCACTGACAGTTTGGAAGAAAAATGGGTAAGCCACCCCAAGATACAAATATTTCCTTTTTGAGGTTGTCAAGAGAAAAATATAGAAACAAGAGAAATTGTTTTTATATCCTATGTTGTCCCCCCAAATTTGTTATTGCTGGTTACTTCCCCCTAAGTATCAATAAAACGAAAATACTTATTTTGCTACCAGACAAGGTGAAGTCCAAAGCGTTCTCCATTGGCTTTAACTGATTTCCTCCATGCATCACACAATCACAGTGAATATTGCAGTTCTTGATGGCGGGATATTTATTTTTCCAAATATTATTTTTGTTGTATTTTGGAAGATGCCTCAGAGAGAAAAGCAATGTTTGATAATATCTTGTTCTTGCTAGTTTTAAAATTTAAAATTTACATAAATAAACTATGACCAGTATCTGGGTGAGACTATGTCTTGACCATGGAAATCTGCTACCTTAATAGGCTACAGTAGTAAGGCTTCCACCGCTTCCCTGATAGAGAATACCACAGCTTAATATATGTTGCCATCAAAATATATTCTGAACACCTCACATTTTATCTTACCCCCCTTGTAAGTTCCAGTTTTATAAAAGCTCTCCTTTTTGAAAATATTTTTAAATTTTATTTCTGCAAACATACTTAATTCAGTTAGTGTTCTCTCCTTTCCTGCTGTTTAGTTCTTACATTATAAATCCAGATCTCTAAAGCACCGGTTTCCAAGAAAATCTGAACTACCAGTGAGTGAAACAAAATTTAAACTGGATTTTGAAAGGTGTATTTTTAATATAAAATATCTGCCTCTGCCTAACAATATGCAGATGGTATCTGAGAGAACAGGATAGAATTAAACAATATTAAATTCAAACCTTTTCTTTCTTGACATGAGATGAAATATTGCATGTGACATCATTGTTGGGTTAACCACTAATCACTAAATTTCTTCTATATAATATTTTTCTGCAAACAAAACCGATTGAACATTGTGTGCTTTCTGTCTTTAAAATGAAGTTGATTGAAAACCAGTATCTAACATATAAAATGTCATCTGCTTCATTATTTCCAGGTGTCCATTTTAAGATTGAAGGACATATTAAATGGCATGTCTACACTGGCCAGTCTTGTGCAAGAATATATGCAAATGAGACAGTGATGAATATCACTGCACCTCATTTGCATACTTAATGAGCTACCATTTTTGCACAAAGGGCTTTTGCTCAAGGAGCAGTCTACACTGCTCCTTGTTGCACAAAATCCCACTCTTGAGCAAGAGCCATTCTGCTGCTTATTTTCAGGCAGAACAGCTCTTGTGCAAAAGCCCCTTGTGCAAAAATGGTGGTTCATGGAACAGCAATATTCATCACCGCATCTCATTTGCATATGTTCTTGCACAAGATTGGCTAGTGTAGACATAGCTCCCATGGTAGAACATAAGAACGGCCATACTGGGTCAGACCAATGGTCCATCCAGCCCAGTATCCTGTCTGCCGACAGTGGCCAAAACCAGATGCCCCAGAGGGAGGGAACACAACAGGCAGTCCTCACATGATCCCTCCACTGTCACCCACCTCCAGAGAAACAGAGGCTAGGGACACCATTCCTACCCCTCCTGGCTAATAGCCATGATAAGCCTAACCTACATGAATCTAGCTCTTTTTTTGAACCCTGTTCCAGTCCTAACCTTCACCTCATCCTCGGCAAGTAGTTCCGCAGGTTGTTTTTTGAGTGAAAAACAAACGCATAAACCCATAAGGAATATAAGCAAATATAAGATATCATCCAGTATGGAGACATACACTCATGCCTGCTGATGGGGGCGGGGCAAAAAGAGTAACTGCCCAGGGCCCAGCTATTTAAAAGGGCATGGGGCCCTCCGCCGCTGCTTCTGTGACAGTAGTGGCACCTGGGGCCTTGGGTCCGTTGAATGGTGGCTGGAGCATCACATGGTGTGCTCTGAGTGGTTCTTAGGGCAGCCTGGGGAGGTGAGGACACTAGGTGGCACATTCCAGGCAGTGCTGTTGGTTGCAGGGGAAGGTGCTACTGAGCACTGCTCTGGCCCTGCCCCTTTTGCCTGAGGCCCCGCCTCTTCTGGGAGTGTGGAACTGGCCCCCAACCTTGGCCAGAGGCCCAGCGAGGCTGTCAGCTCCCTGTAAACATTAGTTCATTACATGGATTAAGCAGCACTGTGAGTGTATAATATCGGTGTTTTGGAACATATCGGTACATTATGTCAAATTCCACCCCACAGAGCTTTGTTTTCTTTAATGTATCTACTGTACATAGGTTCCAAAGTTGATTTCATAAGGACTTTAGTACTTTACATGTTAATTTGCACTGGCCATTGTTAAATAAGATTTATATGCAGTGACACGAGTCTGTGAATCTAATATCCATCTTTAGAAATATAGTTTGCGTACCTCTATGTAGATGTCCACTCCTGACGTGGGGGATGATTTCCAAAGGAATTCTTCAACTCAGCATTATTTTATATTGGGGAGAAGGGGACCAGGGTAGTTTAGTTCTTTTATGTAATTAACTCTTTTTCGTTGTTCGTCCTTGCAGTTACTAACTCTGCTTACTAATTAGCCCTAGCCCTGTTATAGCCATAATTCATGTTTTCTCCAATGCTCTGTATTGTGAGGGAAATATTATGGCCTCTACTTTAACATTAAATCAGTTGAAAATATATTTCTATTGTATCCTATTGCTATATATCAGGAACTTTTTTTTCATTGAAAAAGTTAACATCTGCTGACTTTTTAATACAGAAACTTGTATTTGTTCCTAAACATATTGGAAAGTTCAACCTATGAAAAGTTTAAAGTATCACACAGATTAAAGTTTAAAGCTGTGGAAGAATAAAATATATAACTATTTTGATTGTAACTGTTACCTTCTTTTTTCAGGGTTAAGATCAATGCTGGCTAATGGCTCTGGCTTACAAATTAACAGTCATAATGTTGGAAGAAACGAATAGAAAAGTTAGGAAATAAGCTTCATACATTTGCACTGAATTTCCGTGGTGAAAATAGGCCCTGTACAGGCAACTGATGTCTTTTGCACTACAGTTTTTCTTCTTTGAATTGTAATTGTAGTAGGAATCTGAAGAAAACAAAGTCAAGGGAACCGGAAAGGGAACTTTTGACTTTAAAAACTGGTTTCTGAACCAAGCAAAGGCAGTTGGAAGCATCAGAATGACTGGCTATTCTGCACACATAGCTAGCTCTTTATTCCGCCAGTCCATAATGCTAAATGTTTCACCTTGTTAAAGAACATCTTAGCTATCTGAGCATGGCATAGTTTGGATTGTGAGGTTTAGCTGCAGGTGGCAAGACAGCCTGTACAGATACCTGCTTACTGACTTCCATAGTGTATAAGTCAGTAAATGGGAATTTGAAGAGGGCAGACCAGTGGTGGCCAGGTTGCAGGTGCAGCCCGTGCACCCCCTCTCTGGCCCCTTCCCCATGCCTCATGCTCTAGGGGGCCCACACTTACCTACTTCTCCCCTTCCCTCCCAGCACAAGTCAGCTGATTCATGCCTCATCCTTGCTCCTCCCTCCCAGAGCTTGAACTGAATTGCAGTGTTTAAACTCTAAGACAGAGGCAGGAGCAGTGACGGGGCACATACTGGCCAATTGAAGGTGCTCTGGAAGTGCTGGGAAAGAGGGGAAGGAGCAAGGACAGGATGTGCTTGGAAGAGGATATTGGGCCGGAATTTGAAATTGTAAAGTAAAGGTAAATGTTTGTTTGAGTATTTGATGTTGATGACAGTTCTGTTAATATATGAATGATTAAAGTATTTCTACTAGTTTTGAAATGTTTGGCATACCTTTATTAACATATTTAATCTTATTCCTGGGGTCACTGGGTAGGTCTAGACTACATGCCTACATTTTTACAGAGGCATGTAAACTAGGCTACCCTACAGTCAAAGAAGCCAGGATTTAAATATCCCCGGCTTCATTAAAATAAACATGGCCACCGTGCTGTGCCAGCTCAGCTGATTGTCGGCACAGCACATGAGTCAAGACACGGATTGGTCGAGAGGGGAAGCCTTTGTCCACTGCTCCTGTAACCTTGTTTAATGAGGCATAAGGCAGAGGCATGTAATCTAGACACACCTTGTTAGTGCATGACTGATTTCAATCTTGTGGCCCATTGAGATGGAGGGCCACTCATGCAACCCACTCACTAGCCTTGGTTGCCCAGTGCTGCTTTAAATGGAATGCCATAAGATTTCAAATTTACTCTTCATCTACAGGGTTTTGTTGACATGAGAATCTTTGCAGATAGTTCCCTCACTTGTTCTCAGTTCTATAACCTCAGTCGCTTTTTAAAAATTGATATATAGAGGGAGAGAGGGAGAGAGAGAGAAGTCTAAGATGTGAGATTATATAAATAGTCTCTCTCCAAAGAGCGGCATGTGTGAATTTATATGGGCTTCCAGAGATGTTCAGAATACTCATATCGGAGGGCTTTTTAAAAAAAAATTAGTGAAAATAAGGAATTCTGTATGCTTCCTTATAATCAACAAGCACTTTATCAGAGGAGCAATAAGATCAAAAGTGTATGCCATAGCAAGCTTTCCCAGGGTTTAGTGACTGAACTAATTTTATATTTGGTACTCAAAAATACCTGTCTTTGTAGGACTGGAAAACAAGCTTTTCAAAGTCAGGAAGTGGCACAGTCTGCTGGTAAAATGGAAATGATGGTAATCCAATATTTTATTGTACATTATTTTATAATTTAAAAACATGTTTATGCTCTTTTTTTACAATCACAACTATATTGACTGCTATGTAGCAATATGCACAAGTCTTCCCATACGTGGTGAGGTTGTAACTGAAGGAATTTGTTGGATTTATAATGTCATCTTTAAGTATTTTTCTTAAATAAAAAGAATATTGAATGAAGACTTTTTTCATACTTATGACATACTGTAAACTGATTATTTAGCAGTGATGTTGACATGTAGCCCTCTCTCCTGTCCCAGTCACTAGCTGCAAGTAGAACAGAATAAATGTTGTCCTTTTCCTCTTGCAGATAAGAATCTTTTTTTTCCTAAAGGATTTTTTCTGACAAATGTGAAAAAGATGCTGTTTGGCTGAATAGTTCCTCTTTGTCCAGATTCCCACAGGATCTTTGTCTGGAGATCCCACTGTAGGTGAACTGCAGTCAATGCTCTGACCTCATCTACAGCCATAGCTCCCCCTTGACCTTGCATCCTGTTAAAGTGGGAACAAGCCACGTGAATGATGCGTTGGTGCATTCTTTCTAAGATCCGTGGCCGTCATCTCAGGGTCACTGTCTACAGTTCAGTTTCCTGAGTCTAGACCAGGGGTTCCCAAACTTTTTGACATGGGGACCAGTAAATCCATTCACAAACTTTTGGAGGACCAGTAATGTTCATTTGCATATTCATTAATCAAATGAATATTCAAATGAGTTGTTTCTGGTCCTCCCAAAAAACCCCAGTGCCGGCTTTAGCAAAGCTTTTGATATGGTCACCCACAATATTCTTGCCAATAAGTTAAGGAATATGGATTGGATAAATGGACTGTAAGACAGACAGAAAGCTGGTTAGACCAGCGTTTCCCAAACTTTTTACTTTAGTTGGAAATCTTTTTTTTCAGTACTGCTTTTTGCAGCCCAAAAATATAAAAACATAAAAAACAAACAGAAAATACCAGACATATAACATGTCTGGTATTTGCTCATTAGGTAAGTTGTATTATTACTAGATGTATCAGTTGGTAGTTTCAAACTGCCTGGCTGGTAAATGTGCTCAGGCTGCATGAGTGTGTCTACCAGCCAGACAGTTCACAACTACTCGAGGGGGAGTGTGTGTGTGTGGGGAGACAATAGAATCCCCAGGCTGGACTAACTCATGCTTTGTGCTTTGTGGGGGGGAAGGGAGGAACGGGGCAGCGCCCCAAGATCTACATATGGCCGGGTCAGTCCCACTCCCTGCAGGCCGATTCATTCCTCCCCCCTGCGACTCTGGCCAGCCCTACTTCCCCCAACCCCCTCTCGGGCAGCCAGTTCTCCCCGGCTTCTCCCAATCTCTCTTTGACAGCCCTGCTGCCCGCATCCAGCCCTCCTTCTGGCGGCCGCTTCTCCCCCCCCCACCTGCCCCCAACCTCGCACCCCCCGGCAGCCCTGCTTCCATCGGCCTCCCAGTCTCCCCAGCCTGCCCACATTCCCCCATCCAGTGCTGCTTCTGGTGGCCAGCTCTCCCCTCCTCCTCACCCCAGAATCCCCTGGCACCTGCACCTTCCCTTAGCCCTCCACCCTGCTGTTACCTCCCCCTTCCCTTACTGCCCCTGCCCCCTTTGTCCCAGATACCCACCCCCTCAGCACTCTCTGCCCCATTTCCCTCCTGCCCCTCTGTGCCCTCACACAACTTGCTCCATCCTGGTTTTCCTCATGCCCACCCCTCGTTTCAAGCCTTCTCCCAGCATCTCCACCTCCTTCTCCTCCTCCAGCCCCCAATGCCCCTCCCCGCATCACCCTGTCCCCCCTCCCACTGACACCTCCCCTCCTGCCCTTTTCCTCATTGTCTGCACTTGGCCCCCTGCCATTTGACTCTCTCTCCTGCACCCTCCGCCCAAGCCCGCCACCGCTGCTGCCAACTCCCCGCCCAAGCCCGTCTCCTACCTTCTGCCTTCCACATCGCGGGGTCGAGCCCGGAGCCAGCGTGACCGCGCCACCTGCTTCTGCAGGGTTTTAAAAATCCCGGGCCGTGACGTCACGTCACACCCGGGCGTCCTCCCCGCCCACGTGCAACGCCGCAGATGGGCAGCAGCTGGCGGTGAGGAGGAGCCGCGCACGGCGGGGACGCTCTGGGGGCGGGGGGAGAGACCCGGCTCCACATATCAGTGGAGCAGGGCTCCGGTTCTGTAACTCGCCGGCAGGCACCAGGCACTCTGAGGCCTGGTATTTTTTTCCCCATAGTTTGGGAAACGCAGGTCTAGACTATCCCCTTGGCCTGAGAACATCATTAGTCCATGTACTAGTTTTAAACTACGCTTTGGTCCTATGCACTCGACCTCAGCTAGCGGTCTTTTGGATGGACTGATCTGTGTAGCAGCAAAAAAAAATGTTAAGAATGCTGGAACTGTGAAAAATGTCTCTTACTTTTTCTAGGGAGGGAAAATGGAGTCTCTCTCTGGCTCTACTCAGGTAGGTTTGAATTATGTCTATTGGCAGGGACCCAGAGGAATATTCAAGGAGAGGGATAGGCAGGGACTGAGATTTTTGAGTCACATTTCCCACCAAAGGTATCTCTCCATTTGAGGTTTTGGAATGTGCAACTGTTTAAGAAGAGGCAGAAGGAGCAGAAAACAAGACTGCCTGTATCAGCTGATGCTGCTTGTAACAACACAGTGAAAAGCCGAGAAAGGGGAAGTTTGGGGGTACTCTGCTAGCTGCAATAGGTTTGCTTCTGTGAACAAGGAAAGGAAGGCGAGCACCCTTGTTTGCTTCCTGCTGTGTTGAAGGAAACAGGACTTTGTACATTCTTTGTAAATAAACAAGGTTGCAAAAACAGCACCAGACTTCCATCATCAATTTCTCCTCCCATTTGGGACAGCCTACAAGATCCCAAATTTTGGCGAGCTGATCAAAGAGATAGCAGTATTGACTCAAAACCAAGGTCACTAAAGCTTTATGCCAAAAAAGAGCGACTCAGCAGTATTACTCTCAATCATTTTGTATTTGGACATGTTCACACCAGTCACTGTGATTTTTATGTACTGCCAGCATACTCTCCAATAAACTTGTCTGTGTTTTCTATTAGGCTGTAACATGAACAGAGTAGTTCATGTTTAAATCAAAGCAAGCACTTAGCACAAGTAATTCACTGTAGCCTAATGGCCAAGTTATGGTCTTGTGGTAGTAGAGACCCTGGTTCAATTCCTACCTGGGACAGCTGAAAACAGCTAATGTCCTCATTCTTTCCTATTGGCACATAAGTCCCCTTTAGAGTATTGATTAGGCTCAAACAAGCACATCCAGTGTGACACCTGTGCTGGCTTGGAAGGTTGAGTCTGTGAGTTCTATTCCCCCTGTGCCTGGTAAGACAAAGGGTTTTGAAAAATTATTTGCTGCCTCTTCGGCTTTTTAATAAAACTCGGATCTCTCTTTTGCCCCCTGTGGTCCCGGCCCGCCCAGGAGGCGGGAGATCCCAGTTCCAGTCCCGCCTCTGCGAAGGGACTGGAGCGGGTATCTCCTGCCTCCCAGGGACCGCCCCCCCACCACCCGC